CAGTGGATCAAGATCCACTGGTTGGTGACCACTGTTCTACACCCTCAGGATCTGCTTACTCCAAAATGGTGGTTGGCAATGTATCCCAACAGCAACCTGTACTGGGTCAGAAATAATTTCCTAGATCATTCTGAGTGTCCAGGCCCATATTCTTGCACCTGAAATATATATTCTTGTTTATTCAAATCTGTAAGTGTCTTTTCTTTGTAATGTAGAATTCCCATTTGACAACATCCTAGATAAAATGATATTCTTCTTGTAATCCTAGTCTGTGTTAAATCAGCACAAGATAACTAAATAATTAACAGTGCCATGAATCATAATTTTGTCTTCCTGAACAAATACCAATATCGCTAACCAAATCCATCCCTGGTATAGTTCTGCTAACTTCACTAAAGTTACGCTAGCAATGAATTGATTCCCAGGAGTCTATAACAGCCTGATAAGCCACCCAAAAGGGCAGTTTGATAAAATCAAGTGCCATCAAGAGTGATTAAAATTAAAAGATGATTGCAATGTAAATATTTTACCAAGTAAGTAAACTAGCACAGGAAGAACTGAGTCTCTGTTCAGGTGCACTGAACAGAGTTTATCTGGAAATGGGGATGGGGACACGTATAGGTATATATATATATATATATATATATATGTGTGTGTGTGTGTATATGAGAGACATCAAAGCTGGGAACAACTTAACCTTAATAACTGAACCTTATCCTAGAGATAAAGTTTCCTGGGTTGTCATTCTGCAGCAATCTTGACATTTTATTAACATACACTAAATTAAAATGATTAGAGGCCTAGGAGAAAAGGCTGAAAGAACTAGGTTTATTTAGTCTGCGGATGAGAATACTAGAGGGGATTTGAAAAGTCTTCAGATATTTGAAGGGCTGTTACAGAGAAGATGGTTGTAGCGGACAGGACTAGGCGCAACAGTTTCAAGCTTTAGCAAGGGAAATTTAGGTTGGAAATTAGGGGGAACTTTCTGATTATGAGGGTAGTCAGGCATTGGAATAGGCTGCCTAGAGAAACTGTGGAGTCTCCATCCCTGAAATTTTTCAACAGCAGATTAGATAGACACTTGGCTGGGATGGTTTACCTTGCCTTGAGTAGGGGGCTGAACTAGATGACCTCATGAGGTCCCTACCAGCCCTACTTTCCAATAATGCTATGATGCATTTGATTCTTCCAAGTATAGCTAGATCAAGTTCCTAAATTTGCCCAGTTTGTCTCCAGGCCCTTCCTTTCTCAGTTTGTCTTTGACATTCTTTGGTTGTCCATTATCTTAGAAGGTTGAATAGACCAGGAGAATAGTGGTCAAGTTTGTTCTGACATTTGGAAAAATAACTGCTCATAAAGCATTGTTATATGCAACCTGCTAAGGTTTTGATTACAGTGTTCAAAGCAAGAGTTTACCAGATAGGCTTTAATTTGAAGCTACTTGTAATCTGATTAGATTTTCTATGAACAGTGCACATTAAACATAGTATACTTTCCTGTATAGCATGATGTTGGCCCCAGGTTGATAGCAATGACAATATTGTCTTTTTAATGGAGAATATGCTGCAGTTTGACGTAGCTCAAAATCATTCACAAAACAGGATGTTGTGTCCAAGATGAACTGTTGTTTCCATGACCTGAACACACACAGATGTAAACCACAGAAGGTGCATCAGTCCTTATACGTAATGTTATTAGGTTTAATTCAGATTTAAAAGCACCTGTCTGCCAGGTGTGGTATTCTAACAACCTAGTGCAGGAGTGTCAAACTCATCTGGCCCTGCAGGCTGGATGACTGGTGCAGAACCAAACCACCGGCCATATGAATGTCATTGGGCTGAACTCATTGGCCAAACTGGACCCATAGATGTGCCTCCCGCCTCCTACCATCCTGGATCCAGTGCATGCAGCACCCACTCCAGCCAGACCAAAATTTGGCAGGAAGAGGCCTGGTATCCTGGGCACTTGGCTGCTGCTGCAGAAACAACTTGTGATGTGAGGCTTCCTCCCCTAGGGACAGAAATTACACATAAACCGATATAAGTGATTGGAAACCAGTTCAAATCTGTAACACAAGAGACATTCAGTGCATATAAACTGCTTTCAAAATGGCCCAAACCAGTTTAAGATAAACCTGGATGGATGTAGTAACAGACTTAACTGATTTAGGTTAAATCAGTTTATTGAATTTATGTCCCAGATCCCATCCAGATTCAAGTTAATGTACAGTCCTGAGGGACTGTAAGTTAACTTGAATCTGGATGGGATCTGGGACATAAATCCTGGGAGCATCCCAGGATGCTTTGCACATCCCCTGCAACACCCCCACCCTCAGGGTGGGCAGTCTAGCTTTGGCCTAAGGCTGTCTGCTCCAGCTGAGCAGGGAGGTGTGCTCTAGCGCCCCCCAGCTTTTGGCTTGGGCCACTGCAGGGATGTGGTTGTATTACCGGAATCAAAAGTGAATATCTGTTCATTCACTTATCTGTTTAAACTATGCAGTTTAGACTAAGCTGCAGAGACCAAATCGATTCAGCCTCGGGCTTTTTGACTGTCTGTACTTAGCTGTGGTGTTGCTCCAGTAACCAATGTTCTTGCCTGGTTGCTTGGCAGCCAAGCTGGCAAGAACCACAATGCTGCAGCTCCAGCAGCACTGCGGCAAGACACCCTGCATTGTGGGTACTTGGTAACTGCCACAGGAACAAGTTGCAATGCCAAGCTTTTCCTGCGGTGCTGCTGAGGCTCCAGCCCTATGGCTATTGCTTGGTGCTTGGCTGCCACCACAGGAACAAGCTGCAGTGCTGCTGGGGCTCCAGCACAGGGCAGATTGATTTAAATCAAATTGATTGAAATCATGATGTAAATTGGGAAGCGAAAAGCCTGTTTTAAGTAATTGATTTTTATTTACTTTTCCATTGTATATATACTTTTGTTTTTTTTAAAGAAAGGTGTATTTTCATAGATTGATATAACAATTAAAACATGTTGACTTACAACTAAATGCAGTTTTTACAGTAGATTTGTAATATGCATTTCCTGGGCACATAAACATAAACTGGAGAAATCTATGTTTTTTATTCACTAAATAACTTTTTGTTCATATTTGTATTAAGCTGCATTAAGATGGCAATTTGAATTTAATTAAACACACAAAACCAGCATCTCAAATTTATTAAATAAAACTAATGTTTTGGATACAGATATTTTAAAAAATCAAAACATGGTGCACACTTGCAACTAAAACTCATTAAACACTATGAACTGCAGTTAGTAAATTAAACCAATTATTTCAGGTCTTCCTGGGGAAAATTTTCTAAAATGCCTAGTTGGACGTCATCTAAGTTCCTCCTTGCCTAATTCCTAGGAGAGTACTCATGGATAGTCTGCCGCACTGCTCTCCCCCTTCCCCTGGTTGGCAGTGGTGGATGAGGAGTGTGGAAGAAACAGGCTTCACTCTGTTGTTTGGTCACGAAGTTGTCAGAGACCTTTATTTACAAGTAGCTACTGGGGAGAGCACCGGACAGACAGAACTTCCTCTTATTAGTCCCGCATGCCCCCCCCAACAGACAATTGAAGCAAGCCTTCAATTCAGGTCACATGACACAAGATATAACAAGTCAAAGAAAAACTGGTTCAGACTAGAAAGTTGCAAGAGGGCATAGACTGTGGTTTGACCTATTGACCCCATAGGTCTACTCAGCTCAACAAGGGAAAAAGGGCAGGAAAAAGAGCAGATTGCAAAATAGGCAGAGAAAAAGCAATCATTAGCAAACAGTGCACTAACTCAAGAAGTCAGTAGAAATTAAGGCCTGGGGTTTTCTTCTTCCACAGGAGCACTGAGATACTAGAAGACAAAGGCCTCCCTTGACACACTCCAGAACCCGTGCAAATGTAATGGCAAACACTTCATTTTGAAGCTCTTCTAAATAGTAGTTGTTTCCGAGAAAGTTATTTTTGGAACACTTCTGCCATTTTTTGAGTGTTTGAAGCGCATCAAATGCTCCGTCTGTCCAAAGCATGGTGTGAGCAGTGTCGCAAGGGCGGCGCCATCTGATTTGTTTGATACTGTCACAGGTCCTGACCTCTGATATTCTTTTCTTACACTTCTGTGCCTCTTCTGCACATATGCGTATATACATGTTATTTTGCTGCACTGTTGAACGTGTCTCAGCAGGACAGTTGGAATGGTTCTTCCATAGGTTGGCCTGGTGATTGGGACACTCTTATGAGGTGATGTGATTTACACACATGCATAGACACACATCACATGCATAGTGTGTGTGTATGCATGTGTGATATATGCAGACAAGGTTCCTTGGGTGAATTTGATCTCTTTTATTAGACCAACCCAAATAGTTGGAGAAAAGTTATTAAGCAAGCTTTAGGGTTCAAAAACCCTTTGTCAGGCTAAGGAAGTTTCAGCCGTTGGTGTGTGCTCTTCCTGGATGGAATGAAAAGTAAATATGTGTGATATATGTGCATCTGTGTAAATATACCAGTATATGTGTGTTTATGTGTAAATATGGTTGTATAATATATACACACATATATAAATATGTGTGTATATGTAAATACATGTGCAGTGTGTGTATATACATATGTGTATATATACACAGTGTGTGTGTCTGTGAATGTGTATACACACACACATACACATGTATCTGTGCATACATACATGGTGTGTGTCTGTGAATATGAGTATACACAGACATGCATATGTATCTGTGTATATACATGGTGTGTGTGTCCACGTTATTGCATACAAGTAAACGAATTCATGTTTCTCTGTGCATGTTGATGCATAAACACGCGCGCGAGGCTGTGAGGGAACAACACACACACGCGTGCACACCCGGCGAAGCCGTGGGAGCGGCACACACCCGCGAGGGAGCGCTGGGCTCAAGCCTGCCCCCGCCCCCCGTAGGCGCGCGCGCTTCCCAGTGCCACCGCGGCGCTTCCCCCAGGGGCGGGGCCGCCCCCAGTCAGCCAGTCGGTGGTGAAGTGCCAGGACACAGCAGCACGTGAGCTGGGGGCGGGGGCGGCGCCCACCACGCGCGCCCCGCCTTCCAGCATCCCCGCTACCTCTCCATGTTCCTCGCGGCACCCCGTAGCGCCACTCTCTTCCCCCCCCATACCCTCTGCGTTCTAGGCGTGGCTGTTGGCGCTTCCGGGCGCGAGTCACGTGGCTGGGGGC